GGGGTTATTGAAGACATTATACAAGATGTCTCCCCCCCCCCCCCCCCCCCCCAAAAAAAAAAAATGTACAGTTTAAAAAAAAAAAATAAACTAGGCATCACAGAACGTTTATTCTCCACCCAAATGTATAGCTAGCGGTCCGAACCAGATTCTGAAGTCTCATAACTAACCGTTACCTCAGTCAAAAGTTAAAACTGATTCCCTGAAATTTTAAAGAAGAAAATGGCGGCGATGAACATCTTTTAATTTGCATAAACAATTAGGACAGACTTGTGTGAACTTTCCGACAGTATACGGTTATGCATGTTGCTTCGCATTTCGGCGCCCCAAATTACAATTGTTGGAAGATAATGAACGTGATTTATTTAACACCAATTACATAAATTCATATCAGTTACTCACACAAAGGATTATCTACGGTTTACTTATAATGTAAATTTGACTACCGAAGTTTCTAGACATTTTAATAAAATTCAAAGTATTTTGGAACCTCGTGTTTGGGTACTTTGTTGAGGTTGTCTCTAATTCGTCCCACAACATGAATTTTCTTCTAGGCTCATAAGGATATAGTGTAGTTTCGGGGTCCTGGCCAAAACTCCGGAAATAATATGAGGAAGAATATTGAAAGCACTAGCCAGTAAATATTTCGTCGATATGGATTGATAAAAAAGAATTAAAATATTTGAGTTCTCGATGAAAAAAAGAAAGTCTAGGCAGAAGTTTGAGAGTGACCTCGCTTCATTTCTGAGGATTAGCAAAAGGTGAAAAAGCTATTCGGGTCAACAGTTCTATGTCACTGTATTTCTGGGTCACGACAGAAGTAAATCAATTTATGCATGTTCTGTCCTCGAGTTTAGATTCGACCTCTCACGAAGAGACGGAGGCAGGGATTTTGTGACGGAGACAACTATGGATTCCACGAACTGACTGTAAATATTGATGTTTTGACCATAATTATTTTGATTCAAGTGGGTCTTTTTATGTGTCTGTAGGGATTATAAAGTTTATTCGGAATTTAAAAGCATCTGAGAAACAATAAAATGAAGCACCAAACTTTGGGGAATTAGAAGTTTAACAGAAGCCAGTTTTGATAAACGACAAATTAAGAAGAAAAAAAAATGTGAAACTATTTTTTTTTTAATAATTAACTGCGAAAACCGGAAACAGTAAGCATATCCGTACGTCAAATGCAAGGCGCTGCTGAATTCAGAGATCCTGGGTTCCAATGCCCTTTTCGATCTAGATGAGCATCGTACCGGCGTGCGGTCGTGTATCATTACTGCGTGATGCGCGTTAAAAACCCCCAGGCAAGTGGTTGGGCTGCACCGGCTCAATTTCTCCTCTACAGCCGAGACACCAGACGCCCATTGGGTTACCTAACTCCTGGCCATGTAAACATACACACGACAAATTACAAATTGAATGCAAAGTCGAAAAAAAAAAAAAAAGCAGTTTTTTCTTCTTTCCCGTGGTTCCCAAGTGTCGAGATCTACGAGATGGCCGACGTTAGCGAGGGGCGAGCGAGCGTGCATGCGTATACCTGCTGCCCGGGTGTCGGCCATAGCTGTGCATGGGGGGTGCCAGCAAGGGCTGCTCTAAAGGTGCAGGGGGTGGGTGGTGTCGCCGCTGGCGCACCTTCCGTTGGCGGCGGCGGCGGACTTGTCCGCGGCGCTGGGAGACTGCCTCTCGCGGAACGAGTGCTCCGCGGAGCTGGCTTCGACGGGCACTACCTTGCTGCTGGAGCGAGGGCGCTGGTTTCTGCGCCAGGATATCAATGGAGACCATGAGACGGTCGTCCTTCTTGCCACTGTACAGTGCGTGCACCCCGGAAGACGCCCGTGCGACAACTTTTCCCGCAGGGCACGCCAGTGGGCCAATCATTACCATATATTCCCCGTTTCACACTAGGGAGTTCTATGGAACCGTTTTTCCACATCCGATGCGGTAGGATGGGGCGGGCCACTGCCTCGTGTACAACTGACCCTATAGTGACGACACTGTGTACGCGTACCTAGTTTCAACGTGAAACGGAGTATACAAAGGAAGCCCAACGAACTCTCGTACACAGAAATGTGACCTGCGCAGGTCCAGTGAGCGAGTGAAATGGTATACACTCAGTGTCTGTAGGTTACGTCGCCGAGTCAAACTCAACCTTGCGCATTGTTATTTCCTAGACGCGCCCCTTATATATACTGTTGCAAATGGCTCACCACGTGCCCTTCGGCCAGGTAGGTCCGCCTTCAATCTGTTTGAGTGTATAAAATCTCGACATAATCACAATGTCTTAGCGACGTCGTTGACCCCGAGATATGATTTTTATGAACGCGAACCGCTGTGACAACTGCATGTAAATGGCAAAATATGGAACTTAGTATTTTTTTTTATGTAGGCGCGTATTTGTGCGGAGATGTTGAATGTATAAGACATCATGCTCGATGCTTTTGTGAGCGAGTTACGTTCGTCGGACTAAAATAGTATTTTGTCTTTTGTAATTTTTGCAGATATATATCTTCTCACATGTAGGGCTCTACGTGTTACAGAAGTAAACAATTTTTGGATACTTTTTTTCGTATACCGATAGGAGGCTAAGCGTGTGTCAAGTAAACACAGAAAGAACTATAACAAACACATACCAAAAACATTGATGTGAGCCATTGAGAACAAGGATGGAAGGGAATATCAGTCTGACCTTGCTTGCTCCCATTTGGTGGCCCATAAAACACATTAATGTCCCAATGTAAAACTTCAGTGGGCCATTACCGCTCATTCACACTGGAAGCGGATCCGCGTTCGCAAAGCGGTTGCGAACGCGGTTGTATAAAGTTCCTGTACAATTGCAGGCGCACTTGATGTCATCGAGTGCGCGTGCAATTGTATTGGATCTTTATACAACAGCGTTCGCAACCGCTTTGCGAACGCGGATCCGCTTCCAGTGTGAATGAGCGGTTACAGCGGGCGATAAATCACATTAATGGCCAGCTGTAAAATTTCCTCACTTAGACGTGAACTTTATCACGCGAGACAGGTATATTAAAATATTGGTTCCTATTTCTTCCTTTATCGGAGGCAAATGGTTTAATTTTGACCGAACGAGAACACCACTTCCATAGCCTCATTTTTGTAGTAAATTGCAGTAACCTGCATTACAAAGCTAATCGTTTTAATACTATATCAGGTAACTATATGTTTTCTTGTGGGGTAACGAGGAACGGGGTCCTAATATTTCTACGCTTTGCATTCAAAGAAAAAACAATGAGATCAAGTGCGCCACGAGCGAATGTATAAACAACTTCCTCGCGAGCCGCGGCGCCCATAGGAGGGAAAGGTGATGCGAGGGCGACGCTTCCACTTGCCTCAGCAGATACCTCCAGCAGCAGCATAGCATGATGAGGAGTATCAACAGGATGAGTAGGATGAGTATGATGATGAAGATCCAGAAGATGCGGTCGTTTCCGGCTCTCCTCACAGTGTCTTCTTTCTTGGTCAGTTGCTCGTACTCTTGGCCGTACAGGTTGCTGAAAACCGGCATTAAACAAAAGTCCATGACTCGGAAAAAAAAAAAGGACGCGTAGAAAAAAAAAAATATTAACGTTGTACGAGTGTTGTGATAGCAGACCCGTTGTATGTGTGCTCTCGAATAGGCAACCTGATTTGTTTAAATTTTGACATGGGAATTACCAGACAATAGAAGTCAATATATAGCCCAACCAGACCTCCTGCGAACTTTTTGCTCTCCATGCAAGACCTGCACCGGTCAAAGTACAGCCTACTAAATCAGGACTGTCTGAAGTTTCTTAATTTCTCGTTTGTTTGTGAGAAATAATTTTCTTCCAAATCACTTCATACCCCCTCCCCTTCTCTCCTGAAGGTGAAATTGAATGAGTACCGAGAAGATAACTTTGTTGACTATAAACAAAGTATAAAATAAAACAATTGAATAGCTTTTATTTTTTTGGCTCTTATTGACAGTGATATGAAATCTAGATGCCTAACTTGTAGGAGTTACCTCCCGGACTTTAAGCAAAAAGTGATTCCTGTTTGCCAGCACCCGACTATGTGCATGCTACGACTGCGTGTCCTTTAAAAACAGTTTCGTCAGAAAAACAGTACGGATTTATTTCGTTTTCTTTGAGGATCCACGTAGCCTTTTCAAGGGAAGGCGAGGGACTACGAGTACTAATTCAAGTGTACAATGAACTGAACGAGAGGCTGACCTGATGATTCGTCTGAAGGAGACGAGGTCGATCGGCTGTGATTCGTACACCGCCCAGGCGCGCACGCTCGACCTTGAAGAAATCGAAATTGTATCCAATTGTGAGTCGGTAATACTCGGAAGATTCGTACTAAGTGGTTGACAAAAAAGAAATGTTCAGTTTATTTCCGACATATTCAATGTTATATTTTTCCTTGGCAATAAAGCTGTGAAAAAGCTTGACGATCGAGGCTAGACAGATATTGCCAGCCGACAACAGGAAGAAAGCACCAGAAAATAACAGAACAAATATTATCAAGTTCGCTCTACTGTACTAGCTCTTCAATGAATAGCGGTATTATATCTGATACACTAATTTCATTGTAGTATAACTGTCAGTTCAGATCTTGTTTCCTTGAAACAGCTATAATTATTTTTTATTAAAGGAAACGATCACATAACTCTAAATTACCTAAAAGATTATAATATGTTATAGTGGTTTCAAAATAACGCGAATTTGGAACGCCGTTTTACTGCAACAAAATTAACACATCACGCGGAAGTTTTATTTATAAACACTTTACTCAATTCTGCTCGCAACTGTATAATATAATCAGCGTGAAGCTCACCTATAGTGATGTTAACAATGTCGCGGTACTTACAATTAAAAACGTGAAGAATTAGACGCCTTTTAGGCAAACGTACATTTCTTTTCAAGTTATTCCTACCAGCTTCGACTGCCTTTCTGATTCGTTTGGGTTAAGAGAGTTAACGTGGCTAAACTCGCTACTCTCTAATATCTGAGAAATTACTGGGACACATACGCCTCCTTGGACTGATTGTGTGCAGTGATGGAGTAGATGTTGACATTGGCACCGAGCAGCTCCGACAGGCCCCTGCAAAGATCACCATTAAGTGTTCGTAATGCACGCGAACAAAAACGAACTTTTCCGTCTCGGTTACCCAGAAGAGTATGGCTTCGACATTTTAAAATACAGATGACTAATGCATGGACGACTTTGAACTTCGTTGTATGAAAACAACAACAACAACAACAACAACAAAAATATGTTCTTCTTTTAGTCACTGTGATCTCTGATATTTAAACGAAGAACGTGAAGCGAGACTATACTTACTTCTCGACGTGTTCTTTCCGATCCTTAAGGTAAGCGTCGTTACCCGGAAGTACGACGACGATAGATCTGTTCAGGTATTCCTGAAAAAAAAAAAGAAGAAACGATTGGCTCTTAATATTGCCTTGTAAATAAACAAAACGCATTGAGTCTTAGCACTCAGGACACAGAGGGTATATTAGGATTGCAGGCCAGTATATTCGTGACATGGTTTATTAATTAAACTTTTGTTCAATTCTCGTTTTAAAACATTTTGCTTTTACAAAAAAAAAAAAAAAAAAAAAGTACGTACGAATATTTTTGAGTTTTGGAGCAAAGAGGACGTATCTTCAGAAGGCCCTGTAGCCTAAACCACAATCAAATACAATGGTCTTTTCTACCAAAAGATTTTTTGTCACTTGAACTTGGATATTTGCCCTCTGTTGTTTATACGCGGTGCACGCTCATACGCGTGATACCAGATATGTACTGCACAGGATACTAGCCTATAAACAACCTGCAATGCTTTTTGGTTTGGTGCTATCTAGCGACTGAAGCAAGAAACATTGGTTATGCCTGGGCGTTGCGGCTACACTGTTCAAACGTGAGCTATTATTCTGGTGGCACCGCTTAGCCTAGTATCTGAAGCGAGGAATACTGGGTAGACCTGGGGGAAGCCGTGATCGCGTAACATGCCAGTACGACGGAAGTTACGGCCCTGGTGGGCCAATCGGAACGTGACTACGTATCACCGGAGTGCGCTTTTACTGCGAAGTAGTATCAGGCTTTTCGCAGCGTCATGCCCCAATATGTGTGCGTTGCGTTCGTATACGTAGCGCTAATCGAAGCCATCGGCACGTAATGTGGGACTTATCGCTCACCTTTTGCGAAGTTACGTCGAGACGGGGTATAACCGAGGGCTCTCACCCTGCTGGCGCCGCCTGGCTGTTTCCGGCCAGCAATAGCTTGGCGTCTTGCTTAGCTTAGTTAGTTCTGCTTAGATATCAAATATATATACCCATGCAAAGTTCCCCCGGGACAAACATTTCCTTAGATATTTTAAAGGACATTTCATGATCTCATTGAGACAAGACACCCGAATGCAATACATTTTATCATTCGCAAAAGGTTTAAATCGCATATGTTTGAAATACCGGCAGATTCCCGTAGTTGGAGGAAATATAGTTACGGAATAATAAAACCAATCAGCGTCAAAAGCGCACCATCGCGGTGTTTGTCATGTTTCTGTACGTGTTCCTTCATCGCTGAACCAATCATAAACAAAAAAGGCCCAGTGACTTGCACTTTTGATGCTGCTTGGTTGGTGGCATTAGCTCGTAGCGTCGGCTGCGCCTGGACTTAGGCTGAAACGAAGTATAAGTATCAAGCGATAAAATAGTTGCAGAACGGTTACATAGAACGTTTGAGAGCTGAACACTAGTAGCTCTGAAATACCTTGTTCCGAAGGAAAGTTAAATGACAACATCGTTACCTCCAGATGTTTTACGCAATGGCCCACCCACTTCATTTATGCGAACAAACGCGTTTGTCCACGCACAGCAGTTGCAGGCACTGGGAATAAGCTGGAATGCGTTATTTTTTTCGAAGGGAGGAACATTTGCGCATGCTTCGTTCCACATTCAACCGTGGATATGTTCCAACACTTACTCGATCTTACTCCAGGCTAGGGGTTTCGTACCTCGGCGTTCAAAAAACCTACCCGCGTCCAGCGTTTTTCTGTGCTGTCACGTGACACAACCCGCCGGAGTAATTCGGATCCATTGGGGTAAGATTTGGAACGCAGCTCATTTCACCACCCTGGCGTGACGTCTAAAAGGACGAGCGTCGACGCGACGAGCGAGAATCGGCGCGGCGGCGGCCAGCCGGCGGTTCTCACCTGTGTGTGAACGCGCACCGGCACCGACGCGGACTGGACGGGGATGCCCTGGTCGTGCGCCCTGACGGTGAGCACGACAGGATAGCCGTGTTTGCCCCCCGACGTGAGCGGCGCCGTCAGGCTCACCAATCCCGTTCGGGCGTCGATGCGAAACTTCTGCTCGTAGTTGCCGCTCACGATCTCGTACGTCACGTTGCTGTTGGGTCCGGCTGCGTCGGCGTCGGTTGCCTGTGGAGAAATAATAGCAGTATTTTATATCCTGTTTCTGTCCGGAAACAGTCTCAGGGCCTCCCTTTACGGCGTGCAAGCACTCCAAAATGCGTATTTAGCGCATCGGAACGAAAGGGGGGGGGGGGGGGGGGGGGGGGGGCTAACCAATTAAAGGGCAGCTATTCGCGACTCCAGCGAACTATAGGGGCGCGCTGGGCAGGCAAAATGGCGGAAGAAAAAAAGGTCGTTTTCGTCGCTCAGCGCGGGGACCACGATAAATTTCTTGCACTGTAACGTAAACTCGGTGTCACCCATGGAAGCATAGCGAGTTTTCGACGGTAGATACCTTGTTCTAGTCAATGCGTAGGAATGACACGGCGGAAGCATAAAAATAATTACTGAAAACAATGTTGTTTTTTTTTTTGCTGCTTACGAGAACCAAGCGGCGATAGCAGACGACAGAGTTGAAACGACCTCCTCTCATGAGCTTCACGGTGTTGCCGCTACGCGGCGTCGATTTTGCTGGAGTCGCCAATAGAGAACGCGCAGGGGACGCGGGAATTTTCTATTCCCATATGCTTATTCAAATATACAACGAAAACTATCGCAACCTAGCAGTGAAAATGTGAAACAAGAACGGAGACATGCAGGTTGATGACATGGCCGGCCATTGCACACTCGAATATATACCTTGACGACCAGGGGCTCAGTGAAGTCGGCCAGGTCCGCCGTGAGCACGGCGTCGTAGCGGCTCTGCATAAACGCGGGGGCGTTGTCGTTGGCGTCGCCCACTCGGATCCGGAGCTGTGCGGAAGCCCGCTGTCCTCGGCCATCGTCGTCGTGGGCTTCCACCACGAGGACGTACTCCGGCACGGACTCCCGGTCGAGACCTTCTGACGACGTCAGCGTCACCTCGCCTGTCTCCGGGTCCAGCTTGAGACTACGAGTGATGAGATGGAAGAACGGCACCGATTTGGAGCTGAATGTCAGCGCATGCAACTGTATGAGTATGCTGGCGGATAACGCTGCTGATGTACTGCCCCGCAATGCACAAACAACAACAACAAAACCTACAATTTCGGTCATCATCTAAAAGGCGTTCACAACTTCTATCACTGAGACCACATGGTTCACCGGTTGGATCGCGCTGCATAAGTCGACAGAGTGCTACACACTTGGCGCTAAACTGGGATCGTTGCCCTTTCTGTGTTCTTCTCTAACAAATAAATGGCCTTCATTATATCTACAATACTAGCATGGCGGATTTCGCACTGTTGACAGCATCAAGTTTGGCTGCAAAGTTTTAAGTTCGTCATTTTGGTAGTAAATAAAATAAAACAATAGCAAAAAAAAGAAATCGCCTGCTGTGTTGGCTTTCTGCGTTGTGTTGCGATTTGTACAGATTATTTTTATAGACATATTTTAGGGGTGACATTTACAAGACGGTTTTTCAATAGACCGGCTAGATACATCCTGTAAGACTTAAAGATTTTTTTAAGCACTAGCGCTTTTCATGTAACGTTGCAAACTCGGCATTGCGTCTAATCGCTGCATGAAGGACTTGGATTATTTTTTTCTGAAATACCTCAAAGATTATTTATTATACAAGGTTAAACAATATATGAATACATACAAAGTTGCGGGACAAACAGAACAGATTTGTAAGTAGAGGTTACGTCAGTTAAATGGCGTTTTAATCGCTCTTGCTGTTGATGTAATTTAGAACCAACCGTGACAAACGCTGACAACGCTAATCGGAATGCAAAGTATAGATGCATAACACGGTCTGCGCATTACTAAGAATGTTAGTGTCGGACATTTATGTAGCACATATAGATGCACAGCATGAGTGCTTCACTGTGTGAAGCACCCATGTTGTGTACCTATATGTAAGGAAAATCTTATAGTCTGTGCTTTCTGTTTGAGAATACGTAAGTTTAAAAACTTGGGCGGAAGTAACAATCTACAATCAAGAAAGAGAGAGAAAACAACAACCTACTTTCTGGCGATCGGTCCGTTAAGCGAGGTGTATCGCACTCTACCGAAGCTTCCGGAGTCCGGATCGGTAGCCTGTACGTTCGGGACAAAAGAGGATCGAATCAAAAAGAGAGTCACTGAGCGCAGAAAGGTTATGCCTTATGATAAGGTCAACAAGCAGTCGGTTTCATTTACTTTAAGAGGAAAGAAACAACAAATCGCGAAACTGCACAAAAAAAAAAAACGCACCTTATGCATTTTTAAATCGCCTTTTGTATTTATTGCACCTTTTTAGGTCCTCACGAAACGTACACAAAAGCAAAAACAAAAATGTTTGATTCAGATTCTTCGAAGCGGAGAACTCAGACATAAGACAGGACGAGCTTGTTTTGGTTGTCTTCTTTCTAAAGACTATATTTGAGGCATCTCTAAATTGAAGCTTTGAGTGAACTAGCTCAACAGTAACAACTTTGCTCCCGTCAGCTTATTTCTTGTACAAAGCAATGTCTCAGTTCAAACTGAAGCCGATCACTACAAAAAAAAAAAAAATATTGATATTGATAAAAGAAAAAAATTGTAATGAGAAATAAATCTTGCATTACGGGGTCATACATTATAATTTGTCAGTGCCATCCCAACATCCGTCAGTAGAGTATTTTCTGAGCTCAATAGACCAAGGTTCGTGTTGATGTCCTTGCGGACTCCAGCTCCTCTTATGAACTTATCATTATAATAACATATTAGCGCGTTTTAGCTAAATAAGGACGCTGGAGAACTATAAAAGCTTAAGACACTCACCGTGACCGTAGTCACCAGGGTTCCCTTCTTTGCGTCTTCCGCAACCACGGCTTCGTAGGTGTCTCTCGTGAACATGGGCGGATGGTCGTTGGTATCCACGATGTTCACTCGGACCGTCACCGTCGACGTCAGGGGCTCCACGGCTTCTGTTTCGGCGGCCACAAGCTGCGAAAACAACATTTGATGGTTTCTTAAGACTTCGTGCCCACTCGGGGAA